TAAATCATAAGCAAATTTATAGCAATTTTCTAGGCAAATTTGCCTGGAATTGCTTACAGTTTAAGGGATAATAAATTTGTGTGCAATTTTATTTTATATATATTTATAGTATTAATCAAATTCGCTGATTTACTGATTGGCTATAAATTTCGAAAATTCAATTTTATTTACCGTAACAATATTCGGCAAAAAAATTATTTACAATTTATCGAATATGCGTTTATTAATAATTAAGTGCATTTATTAGACTTATCAAAATAAATATATAGATTATTATAACATTGATAACGATGATACGTAGTGATGCTAAATTATATATAACAAAAATATGTGCAAGTTTCAAATTTTCAAATAATCTTAAAAAGCATTGCTACGTAAAGTCAAACTAGCTAAAAGCTTATTAAAAATTGATAGTTTTTTTACCTATTCAGTATTATTTGGCACTTTACACAATATATAATGAAGCATTGTTTTTTTTTTCCTAAAAGCAATATTTAAATTAGTTTTTTTGTCAAACGTCTTTTTTTGGATTTTCGACTTTTTCACTTACAGATTTTCGTCGGTACATTTTCCTAATTCACTATGCCTACTTAATAAAATAAAAAGGCGCGAGAAAAAACCTTGGTTATCAATTAGCTTTAGCAATAGTTTTTCGGTAATAAAATTTAAACATTTGAAATATGACAACTAAAATGAAGACATACGGAGAGCGTGCCATAAGCTTGCCAAACAAGACTGCACGAGAGTTACTTACGCTTATGGAACGTAAAAAATCTAATCTTGCGGTAGCACTTGACGTGACAACCAAACAAGAATTTCTTGACATTGCAGACAAAGTTGGGCCATATATCTGTTGTTTGAAAGTAAGTCATACACAAATACCTTCAAATATCATAGGTTTGTTCGTCGAATGTACATTGATGTAATCAATGTATACGGTTACGAACGTGTACAAAAGTCGCAGTAAGAAGATTGCTTAATCAAAATGGTCAATTAATCTTTTTAATGAAATTGTATGTTGAAAAAAATTCAAGATTAACGTTTATTTAACATTTAATAATAATTTTTTTTGTATTTAGACACATATTGATATAGTGGAAGATTTTGATCAAGATCTTATCGATAAACTTAAAAAATTACAAAAGAAACATGATTTTATAATCTTTGAAGACAGAAAATTTGCAGATATTGGTGAAAATTCTTATTTTGTTATTTTAGAAAACTTTGATTATCAAAATATATATTTTAAAATTATTATTTATATTTTTATATTTTTTATATATAAAATTATATTATATTAATAAAAATTTATAATTATGAATATAATGAAATAGGTAATACAGTAAAACATCAATATTCCAAAGGTATTTATAAAATCGTAGAATGGGCAGATATTGTAGATGCGCACGCAATACCTGGAGATGGTATTGTAACAGGATTGAAAGAAATTGGATTACCTTTAAATCGAGGATTGTTGCTTCTCGCAGAGATGTCTTCAAAAGGAAATTTGGCTACAGGGGCTTATACAGAAGCCACAATTGAAATGGCTAAAAGGCATAAAGATTTTGTGATCGGATTCATTTCAGGAAAAAAATTTAATTCTTGT